AACATAAACATCCGAAAAGCCTCCAATCGCCTGGGTCCTCTCATGTCCTTCCATCCTTCCCATCGCCATCCATTGCCCAAATTGCAGTGCATCCCACGCGGCCTGGTCAAATGCCACGGCACCAGCTGCAGCCTGGCTTCGGACCGCAGAACGTGCGAAGGCTCAACTGATTTGTAAATTGGGATTGGAGGGACGGAAGGGATGGAAGACCCATCTGCATGTCGGATTGGAAGAAGGAGATCGCGCTGGTCCATTTTCAGTTGGTTGCTTGGTCAATGAATGTTGGCAGGGGTCTGGCTGGGGGGGTTCAACATGCTAAGACACCCCTATACACCTGAAGCACCAAGCAGATTTGCAGCACAGCAGGTGTTTCCATGAGCATGGTCCAAATGTTGTTTCAACGCGTTGGTCCACAGGATGACCGTGATCCCCGTGTTTGAATCCTTTCCATGAGCTTTTGATCAATTTTTGTTCACCTACCCACTAGAGACGGTCCACCATGAACTCAGCAATCTGGGAGCAAATGGGGCAAAACACCGCCCTAGACTCAGCGTTTCCTCAGTATGATAACAGGTCCAGCTCCCAAATACATGGAAGGAATCATACGACTCGTAGCCCTGCCGAAGGGATTTATCAAAAAAACTGCGAGAGACAACATTCACTTGCAAACAAAAAAAAGGTGGAAGAAAAAAACAAAAAACTTAAAGAGACATCTCAAACTCAAACCCATGACATCTCAAAGTGCTCAACCAATGTCTTCCCTCCCCGCGTCACCCAGTCAGTGGCTCGACTCGGGGGTGACTCGCCTCGCCTCCCGAGCAGCGGCACGGCCTTGAGGGCCTCTGAGTTGGCCATCCTGTGCAGTGAAACTGCGGAAGGCAACACCGGAGGTACATGGAGGGCATGCCCAGAGATAGTATGGCGATGTCAAGTTTGGAACAGCAACATGAAATACAGCAGTTTCTCTTTTTTGATCAGCGGATATCAGTGCATATATCCTAGATCACAAGTGCTAGCTTTGATAATTGACGTGTTTTTTTTGGATTAGTTTACCCCTCTGGATTGCAAGCACCATTGATTGATGATGCTGGACATATGAATCACATGAAATCACCAGACCCGTCAACCTTTCCTTCAGCCGTCTTGCAAGGCCAGGGAATAGCGGCTATCTACTGCCCAGTCCAGGTCTTGCCCAATGATTTAGCTTCCAGGACCTCCAGAACCTCCACGTGATTGCTAAGAACATACTGGAGTACCGATACAACATGAGGTTATATAGAAACATGTGGCTGTAAGTAGTTTCGTGTTGGCTGGCGAGCCTGTCTAGCAAAGATCCGAACACCAATGACAGCTCCAGCTGAAGTGTTTCGATCTCACCGCTGGGATCCTTAGATCCAAAGCCCAGTCACGTTCGACGGGGTGCGATCCGAGGTAGTCGGGGCTGCTCCTGTCACATCCACTCACCTAAACGGACAACCAAAACCACCCCGTCGAACGTGCCTGGGAGGAATCGGACTGCTCTTGACTTCACCGTGCTGAACCGACTCCATGGTCCCAGTGCCCGTGGCGTCCCCGGCCACCAGCTTCTTCGTTAAGAAGGAGCCCAAAAGCCATTCCGCCTTGCCGGGTTCCTGCGGTTCGGGCGCGCTGAACGACTGTTTGAGACCGGGGCGTTGGCGTTCGGAATCCGAACCGAAGCATTTTCATGGAAGACATGAAGACATCCCACAATGTATGCATGTTTGGAACTGAAGCTCCGAAGCTCGAGCATATGCCCCAAATGTTGACGTACAATTTCTGCTCTGCTTCGGTAGCAGTGATTGATCGATTGTCACAAAAAGTCAGTTTAGGCCTGCGTGTTGAGAGAACTGTTTGCAACATGCAGTTTCTTTCCTGAAAATCAGTTCTAGCGAGACATCAAACAACCACAAACAGATCGCAGCTGATGCACACAGAAAACACAACCTTAACCTCTGGAATCGGTTGAGTGTTTTTGGGCGTCTTACCATGAAACTCAAGAAGCATCTCCAGCTTTGACTCTCCAAACAAAAATCCTTCTTTGGGGCATCAACAACTACCGCCTAGAAGTTTGAATGATACCGTGGTACTCAAGCATCTAAACCACCTTGGTCAAGAGCAAAAATGCGGTCTCTGTCATGTGGCGTTTGAATAAACACTCCGTTATCTGGCGTGTGCGAGAAAATAAACCGCTTGGGCGTTTGGCGAGTCACCACTCCCCGAAAATCCCTCCAAAAGCACGATCTGCTGATCCTGATCTGCCCATGAAGCCGTCAATCCATGGGGGTCTGAGAGGAAGCGCCTGAGGATGGATAGGATGGATGAGTTCAGCAACAATGACATCATGGATGCGCACTCCCAACGATCGAATCGTCGACCACAGGGGGTCTGACCCAGGTTTGCATATGATAAACTGATAAACATTGCTAAACCCTATGCAAATGAGTCTGACAGTCAATTCAACTTGACTTTGATACTTAGGGATGACCAAGCTTCAGTGTTCTTTTGCACAATACCATGTCCTGTCTTTGGTAGGCACAAACTTAGCCAGACTTATTCTTCACATTTTGGGACTAAACTCTTTTTGATGCTGATGGACTGATGACTGACCAGCGAACGTTTCACACCCTGCTGAGACATGCTGAGACTGTGTCCCAAAACCACTCCTGGCTCCGAAAACCGGTCGGTCCGACTCTGCACATCTGTCGCACATCCCCGGTACCCTTCATCCAGCTCGGCCGAGGATTCACACAGCGAACGGGCACACCGTCCGTCCACGGTCCCACACGGAGTCCCGGAGTCCGTCCGTCCGATGAATCGATGAGAAATGAAGCGGAACCGGCGCTTTACCGGGTGCGGAACCAGTTCCGATGGATGGATGGATGGATGGATGGATAGATGGATGGATGGATGGATGGATGGATGACATCCACTGAAAATTCCCCAAATCAAGGCATGGCGCCGCATCGCAGCTTCATCTCTGGCCGCTTGTCCCTCCAAGACCTGGCCGCAGGTGCCAAGACTTCCTGTCGGGTGAGAAGCTCCATGTTCACCAGCCTTCTAGGCTCGTTTGGTCTGGTCTGTTGCTGCTATGGCGCATCAAAAGAATTCCAAAAGCATTCCAGGGCAACAGCGAAATTTCTCAGGACACCGAGGGACACCCTGGTGTAGACGGCATGTCATGTGTCTACTAAAGGAATAAAAGCCTGACCATGCACCGCGTTGGGGGATGGATGGGGATGGGGAGCTGGGAGAGGAATCTCCATGTCGTCACCCCGTTTTTAGTTGTCCTCGCGATGCTCATGTCCAGGAAGCGGAAGCCAACATGAACCCTGCCATAGAAGCTAATATAGATCTTAAGTCCCTGGCTCTTCAAAAGTGACCCGGACTGAGATCCCGGTGGGTTCGGGATCTCAGGCCAGTCTCTCTGGTCACGGGTTCTCTTCTCTCCCTCAGGTTCGGTCACTTGTTTCAGAAGCTGGGCTCATAGAAATCATTACCAGCACCTTCCAAAGGGTCACCAATGGAAGCCCCTACACTAGTTATGGATCGACATTGGACATCCCTATTGGAAGGTCCAGGTATGCAATTATCATTCAAGGACCAGCGACCTGTCCTCATCTGTCCTAAAAAAGCGCTTCAAAGCCCGAGCAAATGCCACCAATATGCGACCTTTTTTTCCAGGGGCTGTTGTCCTTTGCATAGTCATGCTGTTTATTGGACAATCATCTTAAAGGTCCCAAACACACCAGGGAATGCATTTGAACTGGTGTTGCCCTTTAGGCACCTGGAATCTGGACTTTGCAGGAATCAACACAATATGATTATGGCACTAACTATTATGTTACATATATGTTACATTATAATAGGCGGCTATTGGCCATTTGTCATTAGCCATCAATCTGACAAAACAGCAATCCGCGAAGGTCGGCAGTTCCGTGGACTCCCTCAGCCCCCCCCGGCCCCCCGAGCCCATTTGGTTCACGACACCCCTGAGCCCACCTTGTGGCTATGTTCTGGATCCACCCAACGCCTCAGGCTTCGCGGGCGTTCCAGAGCTGCGAGGTGTTGGGGCAGGTTTGACAGGTACAAACGAGTGACGATTACCTGCTAATAACCCAATGCAAGTCAGGGTAGGTCACAGAATCAACCTATTCTGTCTGATTGCAATCATGTTTGCCTTTGCTCAAATGATTCTTAAGACGCTCTGATCGCCATTTTGCTAGAGTGGACTCACAAGTCCACATCCAAACACCCACCGGAGCCGGTGCAGCACTTTAGCAAGGCACCATTTTGCGGTCCCGGTCAGGGGCACGTGGATCATGATGAAATGCTACGAAGATTTCAGGGAAACTTCTCTAGATGCAAAGGCTAGAGCGGCTCAAGGACCAGTCGCTATGACCATTGGTCTACTGCAACTGGTCAAGTATAGGGAAACAAATAGAAGGTGAATGAACCTGGGACCATTGCTAGATTCTGCTAGATTCATGTTGGATTCTCGCGCGTCATGCGCCACGCCCCTCACCCTCCATCACCATCACCGCCCGTCCCGACGTGTCCAAAGCCGCTCTGCAAAGCCGAGTGGCGGAATTGGGGCTGTGTGCTCGGCCAGAGCCCTTGGGTCCGGCAGTCGTCAGGGCCCGTCAGGGGCGCACGGGATCGGCTGGTCTCAGGGTCGGTGGTCAATGATCCCTTCGTTAAAGACGGGGGGGGAGTCCTCTTCAAAAAATGGTTTTCTTTGGAGGTGGGTGGTGATGGTGAAAAGCATTCTTGGAGATTCTGAGGTGAACCATGGCGTCTTTCAAACGGCCGTGTCAGCGTCGATCCCTCCTGGCGATATTCTGGCACAAAGTCATCATTGAAAACCGTGGCTCAAAGTGTTGCGGCAGTTTATGTCCAATTCTGGTGGATGATTGCTCTATAACACTACAGCCGTTTGCCCAAAAACCGGCATCCCAAGGTGCTTCTTCCCGCTGCATCTATCAAATCCAAGGATTCACGAAAACCGCTCGCAATTCAACCCTGCTCAAGGTCCACGCCCCCACAAAACAAAGGACCAAATACTGGACTACAGAAGTATAAACAACCAACCAACCAACCAAGCAAGCAAGCAAGCAACCAACCAAGCAACCAAGGAAGCAAGCAAGCAACCAACGAACCAACCAACCAACCAAATCTCGCAATCTCTTTCCCCCTACTTTTCCTTCTTCGACAGCAAGCCCCCCCTTCAACGCCGCCCCTCCCTCGCACTCGCCGGGCGTCAAGGCGTGCTTCGCCTCGTCCGGCGGCAGATGCCCCGGGAAGCGCAGCGGCGCCGGAAAGGCCGGGCGCTGCGTGCTGGCGAAGCGCAGCCTCTCCGTGGCCTGGGCGGGGTGGGTGGGCCGAGGGCGGTGGAGGATGGTGGGGAGTGCCATTGGATTTGAAGGGAAGAAGGGGGGTATAAGATGAAGAGTCCATGGGGTGGGGTGGGTATGATGGGTGAGTGCAGATGGAGATATGATAGGAAGAAAAAGGAGGGGTTATGGCGGCCGTGGGGGTTGAAGACTGCGCAGCAGTGAATGGGAAGGGTTCATGTCTGTGTGGTTTTTTGTGGCCCGTGGTATATGGTAGTGGAATACCTCGGCATGAATCCCCGAGCCAGTAGCAAACCCTGTGCGAGAAAAGGATGACGCATGAAGAGGCCATGAAAAACACTTGCCCCAAACCAGCAAACACCACTAGGTAGTAATTATATCCAACATCCAGTACACGCATGTCACAACATTCAACTCCCACCCCCACCTCGCCACCTCTCCCCAACAAAAACACGTTTAACATCTGTTTCAACTTCAACGCCCCCCACCCCACACACACACAAAACCCAGTGTTCACCATCCGACCCATCCCCGCTTATCCCGCCTCGGCCATCACCAGCAGCGCTGGCGGCTGCTGCCCACACAGCTCGCCGAAGAGCTTCGCGTGAAACGCCTGGAGGATCTGTGTGGCCATCGAAGGGTTCTCCCTGCGAAGGTCCTGGCGTCGGCACAGCCCACGTGCAGCACATGTGACGTGGTCAAATTCAATGTACACTCATCTTGAATCCAGCGTATGTCCATATCGTGAAGGAGATGGTATGAAGTGAAAGCGGCTCCCCATTCAAGTCTCAGTGCATGAGAGAGTCTGTTTGACCAATTAGCATGATTCCGCAAACAGAACGCCCTGGCATATGCCACCAAGCTAACTATATATAATCATTCTGACTTGAAACATGGAAAAAAAAACAATAACAATAGCAAAACACATCTCAAAGCACACAAGAAGGCATACCTTGTCGATCTTTGATGTTGTACGATTTAAACTCCGTACAGGTATGGTCCAGGTACCTCCTAAGGATGGCCTTGGAGGTGAGTTTGTACTTCCAAAGAATGTTCGAACGGGGGGTCCTGCGCATGGTCCTGGACACACGTACACTCTGAAGTATCACAACATGTACTGAAATCGCCGTCTTGCCGCATCATGTCGCCGTAATCTAGCCCATGGGGCTGTTACACAGGCCCTCCATCCACCTAGATTGCCTGGAACCCATGTGGTTCTTGGTCACTGACATCGATCGGTGACAGCCTCCATGTTTGTGGCACCCGATCTAAACCAAAGCTCAAAGCTTAGGCTTATGTCTGGAGAAGAACGGATGTGAGACATGTTTATTTTTCAACCATCTATGGATTTCCCTGCTTAGATCAAAACCCAACGAGGCATGGGTTCTTCTTCACCTCGTCTTTATAGTATCCCAACAACCCAAACTAGCTCCGAGTTCCAACGACCTCCAGGTCGTCACGCCGCAGCACCGCCGCCAGACAGGCGCGCGCGGCAAAGACGTCCAAAGGGCATGCTTGAACGCCACCCAAGAGGAACCTCGAGAAGGTCAAGAAGGCTGAAGGGTGCAAAGCCAAGGCATGCTTGTTTTTGGCAGGTTTGGATGTGATGAATATGATATGATACGATATGATAATATGTGATATGCGACGGTTACGAGGCTGGGATGAATTGTGGAACATGATCTTTGAGGGTTCTGTATATTCTGTCTGTAATATAATTCTATGGGCCCATGCCTTAAAGGCTTTCCAGACTTCAGAAGCGTTGGCAGTGTGAACTCCACTGAAAAAGTGATGCTCACTCCTTCCACCACCCTCCTACTCACCCTCCTCCCACGCCAGGCCACTCCAAGCCGACGCAATCACCGGGCGCGAAGAAGACGCTGGGTGCACCTGCGGCCTCCCGGAAGCCCGTCATCTTCCCGTCCAAGAGGATCAAGGCGCCACCTCTTCGACGGCGAAAGCTCGCTCTCCGTCCGAAGCGGACGGCGGCGGCGGCGGCGGCGGGTCTCAAGTACCGCCCGGGGAGTGGGTGGAGGTGGGTGGGAGGAGGGGCTCAACCCCTTCAACGATCGAACGTTTGAGTCATCCCTCTGCCGTTTTTTTGGTTCAAGAAGTGGAAGGTTTCACCAAGCAGGGCTGTAGAACGCGGCTTTGAGGTTGGGAAGTTTGGCATTGTTTCCCACAGAGCCATGGGGCCTGAGACCAAACTTGAAGATTCCAGGGTCATGGGCCATGGGTGAAGATCGAGGGCAAGCTTCGCCCAAACTGGGCGACCGCTGGCGCCGTCGCACCTGATTGGACACGTCCGTCGTCCTCTGCTCTCTTTTCGACGTCGTCGAGCGGCTGAGGGGCTCTCCCTTGGAGAGGACGGAGCTTCTGGCCGGCCACTGGGCGATACGCAGCCGACACGCCAAGCTCAAGAGGCCTGGAAAGGACGAGGAAGTGCGAGGTCTGGCGGTCTGGCGGTGGCACATGAAGCATGTGGCATGGGCGGGCTGGCAACTGTGTTGCAGACTGCATACTGTTCATACTGTTGCATGCTGTTATGATCGAAAGTTCATGTTGTTATCGCAGCTTGTACTTGGGAGAGTCCAACAATCCGTCAACATCCGTTGGGCTCGAGCCCATGATGTGCATGTGTTGACCCGTCTGAGAGAAGGGCTTCAAATCTGTAAGCATGGCGACCCGATCAATTTTTGCGAGGTCCCAATGCACTGCTGGGCCTTATTCCTATTGCAACATGGGCGTGGTCCATGTTTTCAATGGGTGATTGAACTATCCAGCCCCCTTTTGTTGCCCACTCCCTGCCTCCCTTCCCTCGTGTCTTCTCTCATGTTATCACCCAGTGGCAATTGTAGTCAGCATTGGGCAGCAACGTCCCTTCTTCCCGCAGCCGCAAAAGAAAATCCAGGATCTGTGGCTCGTTCATCGGCGCCAAGCTGAACTGTGGCCGGTTGGAGACCTGACGAGGATGGGAAAAGGGAGACCGGGCGGCGCATTTAGCTGGGCAAAGGGGGGAAATGGAACTGTAACTCTAACTCCAACAGTCAAACATATTCAAACCCTTGTCCAGCACAACGGATTCCAAGTCATGCGCTTCCCAAATACACGATGGACATGGGTGTCTTTGTGCCCAAGACATCCCAAGACCTGGTGTCCCTACCTCCTCCCACCTTCACCCTGACAGTTAGGACCCCTGACCGGACAGCCGCGGAAGAAGCAGCCACAGGCGTCGGCCAGCTGTAAGAGCAAGGCCTGCTGTGAGAGCGTTTTTCAGGTGTTCTTCCGATCCCGGCCGATGAAGAGGGTGACACCGATCCCGGCCAACTTCGAAGCCCTTGGAGGTTGCGAAGCCACGGGGTTTTCGTTTCAGCTGCTTTTCGATGTTGCAAACCCTCATCAATCTGAAAGATTCTGAAAGTCTGACTCTCGCAGCGCGCATGTGTGTATTGTCTCACCCTCACGGTTCTCCGCGGAGGCTCGGGCGTACCGTCGACCAGTTCTCCGTGGAGGCTCGATCGGTGGTGTCGACGTCTTCGGATGAGCACGATCCGTGGCTCGAGATTGGCTGAGTCACTGTGACTGAACCACAGCACCACGGGAACTCAACTGTTTTGGACCTCAGCTTTCTCAAACATGGTGCTGCAGATCTGGTTGCAGTTCCAATATATTTTTCAGCGCCTTCAGCAGCGAATGGTGGAAGGCGGGACGGGCACGTCGCAAGCCTTCCAGCTGGTCGTAGCCTGAAAAGCCCACCGCTTGACCATGTTTGACCCTTTTGATAGTCCAGGGCCTACGAGGTTGGCAGCTAGATCTGTGGGATGCTCTCAAAACACCGAACAACTACACGTCCTTCCCAGCCCGTTCGTCCATTAACGTCTCAACCACCAGCGAAAACATGCCAAAACTCATAACGGGCAGCTGAGCACTGCAATGCAGCCATCATCCACCGCGCGCAAGGTGTACCTGAACAACCCAGCACGACGTATAGCGGGCGTCCAGCCGACTTGACAAACTAAAGGGCAAGGTTGAAGGGGGTGACAATGTGGGTCGAAGCCCAAAGATGGTTTCTTCTCAGTTTTGATTATTTTTGGAAATAAAAGTGGATTCCAATACGAGGTGGTTCATGCAATTCACTACGAACACCAGCTCTTTGAGTACCTATCTCGGCCTACCTCGCGAGTGTTGCCCACCCCTCCTTCATATCCCACATTGCTGATCCCAGTGGCGCCCTTGCATGGCTCTTCTCCCACAAGGCCACTCGAGCCAGGCCCAACATTTCCTTGGTCCATCCATCTGCGAGAACATCGCAGAACGAAGCTCACATCGATGTGTGAATTGTTTCCAAGTCGGATCGGAATGTTGGCCAGCCAACTAATTAGTATATTAGGATTTGGATCACTTGGAATAGATTCTTCCCCAGTCAGCCCTTGGCAGATAATCTTTTGTGGAGTATGTATCAACATGTATCAACCAGTTGGGGTGGTTGAAAGGGGGTCAATGATAAAATATCATCCATCAAGTCTTCGAGCTTTTTGTGATTATGGAAGAATCACCTTCAAATCCTTCAACACATCCCAAGAAACGTTCTATGTCCATCTATTTCCAACCATGAATACAACCAGGAAGGACCTGCAGGTCAGCTTTGTTGACATCCGACGATGGCTTGGCTTTGCGATGAAGCAACTCAAACAATTATAGAATAATTGGCCAATTGGATGGCAATAAGGCCCGACCATTCACACACACACACAAAATGCCTGAGATATGACAAGTCTACAACCAGTGCATTGACTTCTGAACTGCTAATTCAGAATTTCTTATCAGGGAGTGCTTCTTTGCTCCTCCTTCATCAAGTGAGAGCCTGTTGTTGTTTTGCGGTTTTCTTTTCCGACAAAGGAACAGGCCTGTACGACACCTTCGGTCTTCGGTCACCTTCGGTCACCGAAGATCACCAAAGGTGTCCTGAAAACGTTCAACACCAACGTAACACCCCCAAACAACATCATGTGCGCACGCTGCACAAACGGAACATCTTCTTCCAACACCCTGCTGTGGTGTAAATGTTTGTATATAAAAATCATCAGATTCACCACAAAACATGAACCAACTCACCAAGCTTCTCCTGGCCGATGCTCTCCCATCCGCTGCTCTCCTTTCCCACCACCACCAGTGCCACCCGCAGTGGGCAACAAGGCATCGCAACGGCCAGCAAGAAGGAGGCCGAGCCAAGTGCAAGGCTCACCACGGGAAAACAAGACCTGCAAGGATTTTCCACGCGAGGCATGCTGTCTGTCGTTTAGGGTCCAGGCAGCTTGGCTGCGGGGAGAAACGAAGGAATCCGAGGAGTTTCTGGGAAATCATGCAAGGGGGTTCTAGTATGTTCTAGTCAATTAAACTTAGGCATTCCAAGCAGAATCCAGCTGCAATAGTTTTGTTTCGCTCAGCTCTCAAGAACCCTTTGAGGACTTGAGGGGGTCAATGGGAAAACATGACAGTTGCTATATGACTGACTCCCAACCCATGGGTCCCAGGCCAGGTTCTTTTTGACGCCGGAAACACGGCACCGGGAAAGCTTCATCTTCGCCTCCCCCCGCTTGAAGGAGAGCGGTGAGGAAACTTCTGCCAGTTCCTGTGCCGCCGCGATGTCTGAAGTGATGAAACCCCTAAGGCCTCTGCTTCTCATTGAGGATTCGTATATGTAAACTGTAAACCACCAAGCCGTAGTACGGGACTGCCACTAGTCTGAGACATAGCCAATGTAGAACCCTTGGAGGCTGTGGAATGAACTATGATTCCCAAAATACTGGTTGGTTTCGGACATTCCCTTTCACAGGGACAAGGCACCTGCAGAACCGGGATCTTTGGAGATCACCATCAACTGCTTTCTAGGTATTGAATGTCCAGGTCCAGGGCCTTTATCTGTGTTTTTTCTCTTGCTTTGCTTGAGACATCACAACAACTCAAAAAAACATGTTCTTTTCCCATCGACATCTATCTATCCTGGTTCATCTGAAATTCCAAAAATCCTCTGGATCTTCACTGCGACAGTCCATCCTTTTCGGTGTCTCTTCTGCCGTGAGATCTTCTTCCGCGTGATGAGCGTTTGGGATGATGACCGGCGCCTCAAGCTCGCTGGGACTGAGCTCCAGGAAGAGGCACCTGAGCTTGGAAGAAGGAACGCTACGAGATGTAAATACCGCGGTATCTGTCCATCGGTGAATCGACCGTTCCGCATGGTACGACGGTACGAGCTCCCCGGGACCCTCTATTCATCCAATGCAAGAAAGGCCATCTGATGCTGGTCGAGACCCTCGGTCTTCGCACCGAGTGCCGGCGGTGGTCGAAAACCAACCGAGCTCGCACTGGAGCTTCCAGAAATCGCCATGACGAAACGATGAGAAACAAACGGTCAAGCGGTCGTTCAATACGTGCTTTTTGGAAATGCTAGACTCGAAATGAAGCTTCCCCAAAATGGAACACTTAGGTTTGTTGAGGAAACATGAGGAAACCCTTTATAGTCGACTGGCAGGGTCTGTTTGTACTGGATCCTGTTTGGACTCCCATGTTCATTCAAAACTCTCTGCGAGACTTTGGTGGACAAGACATGAAACTACAGGTTTGCAAAGGCACGGAACAAAGAGCTCTCATGAAGAGCTGAAGCTACAGCTACTTTACCAACAAAGCAAATTCGCTGACCCTCCCTTCGTCGACCCTCCATCCACCACCGCACCCCTATATACTTTCCACCACTTAGTCACCATCAAAAAAACAATTAGTCACCATCAAAAAGAAAAATGGTAAAAAAGAACTCTACCCCCGAACTCCCCCTTCACTCACCAGCTCGCCCTGTCTCCATCCCTTCCACCACCCCCGGCACAAAGACCTGGAACCAAGCGTCTCTTCCTTCCGCATCCGCCGCAGCAGCTCCAGCGTGCTTGCCGGGCCCAGCTCGCGGTTTGGCGGCCGCAGCTCCGCAGCCATGGGCGGCTCGAGCGCGAGGACCTTCTGCACCGTCCGAAGGGGCGGGGCCGGGCTGGGTGGGAGGAAGGATGAACAATACGTGACCTGCTGAAACTGTTCAAGTGATCGTTCAAACATTCCGGATACGGTGCAGCGTAAAGGTTTCGCCCATCGCAGTTTGGTTGCAGGACTGTCAAGGTGTGACAAGTTGGATGTCAGATTCTGCGTATCGTTTGGTATTTAGTTTGGTTTCTGTGTTCCTCCGTGCTCCGCTGGTGAGTTGACTTCTGAACAACATCCAACAACCCTTTTTCCACTTCCACATTGTCCTTTCGGACACACTCTTTATTTGCGATGCGCGGAACGCGTTCCATCTGATCCCACCCCACCTCTGGCGCAATCGGGCGCTTGTCAAAGGGATCCACCTGCAAGGTTGAAGCTTTTGGGGTGTTCCTTTAAGAGGCATTCCGGGCTTACTTCGAGTGAAGGGTCAGAAAAGGGTTTGCCTTGAACCACCAATAATAGCAGGAATTTGATCCAACGAGATACAACGAGTCTACAATTCACATGACGAGTCTCAAGAACTTGTATAGGCGCAAAAAAACATGCACAAAGAACGTTGATGAAACTGAACCAATGGCAATCAATCTCTTGCGATCACTGAAGTCCCCTATAACATCTATAACATCTAACTCTCCTCAACCCTACTGTGAGTGACTCTGACTCTATACGGCTTCCCTTCCTTCTTTCAGTCGTTACCACTCCGTTTTTCACACTCCGCGCCCGCGCCCATTCCGCGGTGCCTCCGGCCACCCCCTCGGCCGCCCCGGCGACCGAAGCCCCCGCCGGGGCGACGGGTCGCGCGGCGGCAGCGGCGGCGGTGGGGGCGAGGGCCGCCGGGTGGGCGAGCCACCGGGGGAGGGGAGCCTCCGGGCTGGCAGGGAATGGGTGGAGGGTTCCTGGGGTATACTTTCCCTAACTAGCTGCTCAGCTGCTAAGTGGAAGGGAGCATGAAAAGAAGTGAAAACCAAGTCTCATTTATGTACAATATACTTTGAGTTTGACTGCAGGTGGGAGCTCAGTGGAGTCCTCCCGTGCTGTTGGTTGCTCCTTTTTTCAATCAGTGTTGCTTCATCTACACAACCCGCTCCCATTTACACCACACCAACTAGACAAGGGATGCGTGGGTGGCCAAAGTGGTACCGGATCCATAGATTTGCAGGAAAACAATGCTTTGAGTTCCACAAGCTCAAAGAGTCTTCTGCTCAACATCCTTCTGCTTCTCCACTATCTGCACCTCCTGTCCACCTTTGCCCTATATGTGAATGAGATATAATGTCGATGAACGTTAACATTACCATGCTTTGAATACTGTAGGCGGTATGTGGCTAGTTGATAGAATATGATGTCATCAATTAAATGAACAAAAAGGAAACACGGGAAGAAAACGAGCTCTCCCTCCTCGGCGGTGAGCAGGGCCGCCCAGGGGGGACCGGTGGGCTCCGACCGGGCCAGCCAATGCCAGCGGAGCTCAGCTGGGGTGGCAAGGCATGACCTGGGCAGTGTTTGATCTTCGCTGGAAGATGCTTGAAGCTTGCATGTGCGCTTGCAAAATTCAATACTAGCCAATATTATACAATATGTATAAAGCAATTGAGGTTGGTTGGTTGGTTGGTGGGTGGGTGGGTTGGTCGGTCGGTTGGTTGGTGGCGGACGTAATTATTGTGCATGACTTGCATATTCAAAAGCACAGGTCCCCGGGCCCCGTCGAGGCGAGGCCTCCCGCGGCGGGGGCGGTGGGAAGCCCACGCGGCCGCTGCCAGGTGCTCCCAGCTGAGGTGGCAGCAGGTGCCCTGGCATTCGAAGAGGATTCCCTAAAACGAGCTCTTGGGGTTTGTGTAGGTGGAGATTGAAATATTCTAAACATATCCACTCTTGGTGGAGATTCACATGGGGCAAACATCCTATTTGTTGGGTGAGTTCAGAAGTACTGACAGGTTTCAATCGAGAGTTCGAACCTCAAGCCCCTGAGTTCGATATAAGGTTCAGAGTGGATGGGATGGGACAAACCTCAACAGAGCGCAGCCCAAATACCGATGGATTCCGCCTCTGAGCGGAGATGATGTTCTGACAACTGAAGATCACCAATCCACTGCTACCAAAATCAGCAGTTGATGCCCTGATAGCTCTGGGCCCTATTGTTGTGGATTGAGGCAAATATATCACTTGAGACAAAACCAGCGTGGAAGTGAAATACTACCAAACGACTTGTAGGCAGTTCTCTTGCAGAGGTTTCGTGATTCACTGAACCCCCAAGTTCATCCTTCTCTGAAAGTACAGAAGTGGACACAGTGGACTGAGCGCCACTCACATGAACTCGTGGGCCATGCCTGGCATAATAGAGGGCAAACATTGAGACCCACAACAACTCTTTGAACAATGCAAACATCCACGACTAGCATACCCATAGTCTGCAACACATCACACATATCCCAAGTTCCCTGCAGGGTGGGGAACAAGAGCTAACGAGCAGCTATTTTGTTCCGCAAGCAACCAGGTGCTCTGAGATGTTAAAGAGACGTTTTCAAAAACCAAGAAGCGGGCTGTCCGACAGCACCTTGCACAGCGAGAAGCGCAGCTTTGGAAGTGGCACCCTGATGCAGATTTCGCGCGTAACCCTGCTCTTGAAGCTCATCTGCCACTGGCGGATGAATGGAAATGCTTCACTTGGAGCTTAACACCGGCACTAAGTCTAAGTGTAGGTCTAGGTGCATGCATATTAAGGAGCTGCGTGTCCAGGCGGATGTGCTCTGAAATCATGCGCCCTGGGACAGGCTTGCTTGCTTGAAGGACCTCAAAACGAACATGATCCTGACATGTTGCACATTCTTTACCGGGCCATACCGGGCCCAAAGAAGTTTCTTTGACCAAACCTTCAAACTACTTCACGATTGGGGGGGGCTAAACAGGGCCTGATGGTTTCTTTGCATGTGATGCAGCATGATGCAGCATTGCACAGCCATACCAGCGTCAGTCGAGGCATGCATTTGATGCTTCCATGATTATTTCCCAAACTTATGTTGTTTTTGAACATGCCTTCCCACCTGTAGGGCGGGGAATCAGAAAACGAAGTGCTTCTGTCGAGAAAGTCTCCCAGTCTCGCATTACTACAGTTGCGTTTTTGTTTCTTTTGCCACCCGGAAGGCCGATCTCTGCAATAAGGAATCATCCTCTGAACCTGACTGCAAATGCTGCAGTCTCAAGCTCCAAACATGTTGAACACATTCAAGGACTTGCGGCTTGCACGACACTGTAAAGCCATGGCAAGGATCACCCGGCAAGTTGCCGGCAACGTAGGAAGCACAGTCTCACTGATGCAACAGTCCCGATCAGGGTCTCAGCTGGGTCCTGGCGGAAGTTGGCCCTGCAGTGTGCAAACAAGCTGTGGCAACTAGGCAGTGTCATTCAATGCTTGATGTCACTTGCTAAAATTCGGAGCTGCTGCTTGAACATCATGTCAAAATGTGGCGAACGGGTACAGCTTCTGGGGAATGTGACACCCATGAAGGACTTCGGTTTCGGACCCCGACATGGAGCTGTCGACATGACATGCTCCACCTCACGTTCTTCAAGTCGGCCACATGTCACACGAAGTGTCGACATCTAATGAAGGCTAAATGGAGGGTATGAGTGGAAAGGGGTTCACAAAAATTGGTTACACAACGTTAGTACATTAAAAATACCTTCTACCAAGTTCTGCGAAGGTTTTTGTGTTTTGTTACGGCTTTGTTCTCCTACTGGTCCACCATACCACCATACCATCCACGAATAGCCCCGGGTTCCACGAATATCCCGGGCCTTCCACAACGTTAGTAATAGGCTTTTTGCAAAAGCCTTTCTGTGCACTACCCTTCCATTTGCCTCTGATCTATATAATCTCTGTGGCAGGATAACATCTAATTTAATGATGCGGTTTTCGGCAGAGAGGGAGATGTCTGGCCTTTCTATAGCGATGACACCTGGCAAATGAAAAGTCTGATATTTGGCCTATGTGATTTGAAAGGGTATGCTTACGAATGAATTTACGCGATGAAAGTACGCGACCCAAATTTACCCAAATGAACAAAACTGAACAAACTCTCTAATTTTGGATTGGAAGAATCTCATGTGGCTTTCCTTGAGTCTCATCGCCTTCCAGGCTTTACTGCATCCGGCCGTTTCAGCTCGAGATTTGGGTGGCAGTTTCTGTAGCGACAGCTTGCCCGTTCCTGGTGACACCTGCGCTTCTCAAAGGAAATTACTGTATGCGTTGAGGTCCTCTGACAAAAACAAAGTTATGACCAACTTTTAGAACGAACGGCGCCCAATGCGCACGACTCACGATATGCTTCGTCAATTTAATCTCGGACCCTGGCGCAAACGATGTCATTGTGTAAACCCTTCGTCTTGGTTGAGGCTATGGGTGGGTGGCAAAGTTTCATACGCGAGAGGGACATCGCCAACAAGCCACGTCTTGATGCACAAGCAAACTTTCTTCAGCTGAGCGATGGTCAAAACGATTCAAACATGTGATGTTACGACACGTCCTCTAGATTAGAGGGGGCCAGATGCGTGTTTGGGCTGGGCAACCAAGACTCTCCATGCCTAAAAGGAGGCTGCTGTAGAACCACAAACATGCCCCTGTCCGATCTGTCTTGCCCTGTGAAGCTTCTCAACATGGACTGTAATTCTTACAAACTCATGGACTCATCCTTCGCCTTGCAATAGTCAACAGCCGCGCGCGAGTGCACTGCCTGTGCCAATGAGCACCAGCAAAACATCCTAACTGCCAATAGCCTTCTGATGACCTGTAGATCCCAGGGGGCCAGCGGATGTGTCTTTGGGCTGGGCAACCAAGACTCTTGATGCCTAAAGGGAGGCCGCTGTAGAACCACAACCATCCTTTCTGACCCTGTTCGACCTGTCTTACCCTTTTGAGCTCCTCAACGTGATCATGGACTTATTGACCTTGCAATGGGCACCCGCTGTGCACCCGCCTGTGCCAATGGGCACCAGCAACACGTCCCAGCTTCCAATAGCCTTTCACTTTGCACTTTGTACTTTGTAGGGAAAACATGTCGACAGCTTCATTGCGACAGCTTCTTGTGATTCTTTTCTTACACAAAAGTGTCGGCATTGGATTGCTTGGCAGAAGACAGGTAATCTCTCAAAAACCTGAAATGAACAAACCTTCTCAATTTTGGTTGGAAGAACCTAATCAATGCGGCTTTAGCCTCATGGCCTTCCAGGCTTCAAATTAAACAACAGCTGTGGGAAATCTGTCTGGCACTTTTTACAGCGAAAGCACCTGAGCAGCGGCTAAAACCTATGATACTTGGTCTATGTCCTAAAGATATGCATGTGCATGAGCTTCCGTGATGAAAGTATGCGACCCAAGTGTGGACTTAAGCCAATGAATTTAACTTTCTTGCACGTGCTCTTACACAACCTTGCACAACAAAGTGCGTTGCTTATGCAAAGATGCAAAGCTCTTACGACGCAACTCCTATTAGTCAGGAACCAATAGCGGACATCTATACGCGTGGCAGGAGACAGGTAACGCGGGTAATCTCTCAAAAACTGAAAAGGAGCAAACCTTCTAAATGTTGATTGGGAGAATCTCACGTGGCCTTCCTCATAGCCTCATCGCCTTCCAGGCTTCACCTTGAACGGCATCGGTTTCAGATGTGGGAGATTAGTGGGTTTCTATAGCGACAGCTTGCCCATGCCTGGTGACAACTGCACAGTCTTGCAGGTATGGATTGAAGTCGGTGAACTGAAGACCTTTGATGAAAACTCGTCATGACATGTCACGACCAACGTTCAAAAGAAACAGTCATGACAATCTCCACCGCTGGTTCATCAAGTCAGCTACATGTGACACATGTGTGTTTTTCTTGCGCAAAGCGTCGACATCTAAACTCTGTGGCAGGAAAAATCTAATTCAATGTGGTTTTCTGCATAGGGAGATTAGTCGTGGCTTTCTATAGCAAAAACACTTGAGCAAAGGCCAACACCAAAAAACAAACATGTGCATTAGCTTCCGCGATGAAAGTACGCGACCAAAGTGTGGACTTACACCAAGGAACTCTTTCGCAACTGCTCTTACACAACCTTGCACAACACAGTGCTTTGCTTATTCAAAGCTCTTACAACACAACTCTTGTTAGTCTCGCACCAAGAGTGGACATCTAAATTCTGCGGCAGGAGACAGGTCAAATTTCAAAAGGAGCATGTATCTCATTAATATTTAATGGGAGATGTTGGAAGAATCTAATGTGGCCTTCCTCATGTCATAGCCTCATGGCCTTGCAAACTTCACTTTCAACAACAGCCGTTTCAGCTGTGGGAGATTTGTGGGACACTTTCTACAGCGACAGCTTGCCCATGCCTGGTGACACCTGCTCGCAGTCTTGCAGGTATGGATTGAAGTCAGTGAACTGAAGACCTTTGATGAACTCCGGACTTCTGACACAAAATTATCACGACCAATTTTTGGAAAGCGCAGCGCACAATGCGCACGACTCGTGATATGCTTCGTCGATTCAATATCCGACCCTGTCGCAAACGTTGCAGCTGCCGGAGGGCTGGACACTCTTTCCATCTGAGCGTTGACAAAGGCCTGTCCATGGTCGGGCCAACACCGTTGCAATCCTAGTTGCCACATGTTGCAACAACGCCCATGCTTACGCTAAGTTTCTGTCTTGTGGCTGGAGCTTCAATGAAGAAGAGTGGCTGGAGCTTTGCGCTTATGCCGAACAAGTTAAACGCAGGCAGTTCGCGTCCCTTGCCTTTGCCAGCTATGTGATTTCCAACTAACCTGGTGGCATTACGGCTTTATGCCTAGGAATTTCCTAGGTCTGCTTTGCTCAGACCCTTCTGTGTATCTGGGGGAGTGCTTTTTTAACAGTCCAGTGCCCATGTACACTGCTGGAGTGCCTACGCTGGAAGGCTTTGTAGGGCAACAATTTGTGGATGAGATGGCCTCGTGCTTTGCACATTCCAAGTGGCTTCGCGAAATGGTCTTGCGGGTTTTTTTTGCTGCCGTTCATTGAACATATAGCCTTCACCAATTGTTTTCGTCTGGGATGCCATGTCGGTGTGGGCTGTTTGTATGTGCCAGACATGGCAATGGTTTTTGAGCAAGATATTCTCTCCAATGTTCCCCGGTACTGGACCCTGATTTGTTGTGTGAACAACCTGCACCAAAGACTCCTTGCACATAAATACTCTTAGTTGCGGTAAACAGGTAATGAACAGTATGTATATTTATTGCCATCAAATCAAACGTCCTGGCACAGAATAGAATACACAAAATGGAGATGACCAACTTTACCAATCAGCCATGCAGCCATGGCTTGACCATGCACGAGCAAAGCCTTCCCTCCCTAAGCGGCGCTGAGCGGCGGTCAAAAGGTGTGATGTTATGGCACATGCTTTCGATCTCTCTCGATAAAGCATTGCTTCTCTAGATCTCGAGGAGCCTTTTTTCCATGCGTTGCTGGTCAACCAAGACCCTTCACATTTACAAGGGAGTGGTAAACTAAACTGAACCCAGCAGCCCTTGCTTTACACAAACGCCTGTTCTCCCCCTGTCCGATCTGCTCAGTGAAGCGTAACTTACAAATTCACGGAATTTGCAATAGGCACATATGAGCAACGTGCAACACCTCTTATGTGTTGTAGTGCGCACTCTTCCCAACGTTATTGTTTTTTCTGTGAACCTTGTCGTTCCTGAGGGTTTGGACACACCTAAGAACATGTATAACTAAAACCTTATC